GGACTATAGTCCAGATTATAGACTAAACTGTAGTAAAGACTATAGACAACACTTTAGAGAATAGTCCAAATATAGAGTTGATTTAGTTCAGACTATAAATTAGATCATATTCCAAACTAGACTATAAACTGGGTTATATTCCAGACTAGACTATAGCATACTTGTTGTAGACTTTAGACTAGACTATAGTCAATACTATAGCCTAGATTTTAGTCGATACTTTAGATGAGACTATAGTACAGATTTTAGACTAGAATATATATCCTAATATAGTCCAACTATGGACTTAACTATAGTTCACACTATAGACTATACAACTATGACTATAGTGGAGACTATAATTTAGAATATAGAATTTAGACCAATATATTTTAGAATATAGACTGGGCTATATTTTAGACTGTAGACTCGACTATAGTACCGACTATAGACTAGACTATAGTACCGTCTATAAACTAGAATATCGAAAAACCAGTCTCTAGTCCAGACTGAAGGCTTAATACAGTTCAGATTATAGACTAGACTATACACTATAGACTAGACCTTAGAAAAGACTATATCATAATAGAGTTTGTAAACTAGATTATTGTATAAACTTATAGTTCAATTCAGAATATTGACTATGGACTAGACTTTAGTACCGACTATAGACTACAATATCTTAATTACAGTTCAAACTATAGACTATACTATACACTAAAGACTAGTACAGTCTGTAAACTAGTTGATTGTATAGACTGCAGTACAATTCAGAATTTTGACAAGGCTATATTTCATAGATTAGAATATAAGTAGTCCAGGCTGTAGACGATATACAATACAAACTACATGAAGACTAGACTATTGTCCGGACTATAGTCTACACTATTACGATGGCTGTTGACTAGACTGTACTCTAGACTATCGGCAAGACTATTGACTGTACTATAGATAAGTCTGCAGTCTAGTATAGGCTAGTAGGCTGTAGACCCTAGTGTTCACTGAAAATTGCAAGAAAGTTTTCTTTTTATAGTTATAAATGCGAATCGATCATTTAGAATCTTTCTTTCTGAGTCGATTAAGCTCTATCCGTCTTTCCGGACTACTGGCTGCCCTTTAAAAATCTGATCATCTAAGTTTTATGTAGGCATAAGTAATGGTCGTGCTTCACACAAATTTCTCTCAGAAAATGACATGAAAATTATATTGAACATAACTAAATTTTAAATAAACATAAACCCCTCCAGAACTTTAAGCAGGATAGGCCAATATTTTAACCTAACCTATCTAAAAGCGTTTTGGTCTGACTAACACTGCACAGTATTCAATACTTAAATAGAAACATTTCAAAATCACTTTCCATTTTAAATAATTAATTTCAAAATTCCAAGACATTTTTTTCTATTTAATGCTTGGTTCCTTTGTAAGTATAACAATAATTTTTGTATTTTCTTTTATTTTTAGACTTATTACAGTTTTAGCCTAATTTATTTCAATATGTTTCCTTTGCTCCACAACCTTTTGTTATTTAAAGAATTGCAATGTCAGCATTCTATATAAATTTGTTTTTGTAATAATTTTTGTTTCATTAAATCTATGAAATTTTAACACAAAACTTGTAAAACCTTTTCTGGTAAAATTATGATATTGTAACGTTATGGTTTACAAAAAAAAATGAAGGAATTACAAAAGTTAGGCAAAAAATAAAACTGAAAAATCTTTTTATTGGCCAAGAGCAAAAAAAAAAAAAAATTTAAAAAATTGAGTTCATTGTACTTTTTTATGTTTTATTTTGGTTGTTGGTTCTTCTTTTTATTTTGAGCAGCAAAAAGTTTTGTTGAATTAAAAGGACTATAAAAATGAAAAATAGCCCTAAAGGTCGAAAATAGTAGTGAAAGAGTGAGCGAGAGTTTTGCAACTAAGAAGAAAAGTAGCAAGCAAACTGAGATAAATATATGTGAACTATGAGTATTTGTGTATGTGTGACATCCTGATATGACAAATGTCGTTTGTTGCAAAAATAAACGTCTGTTCTTCGGCATTTTTTTCTCTTATTTGTTTCTTTTGACAATTTCATTAAAACAAAAAGTAAATGTGCTAAAATTTAAACAAAAGGATATAAAAGTCTAAGAATGAAAGAAAAATGAGCACAAATGATGACCATTATTTGTTTTTCAATATTTTAGTTTGATTTCTAAACGTCGGTTTGATTTTTTTATATTTCCTAAATTTAACATCAAATACTTATTGCCAATGCCAGCATCATCTTAGTGAAATATTCATTGTATTTTTTTGTAATTTCAATTTTGAAATAAATTTTGTATAGAGTTTGAGCTTGTGTTTTTGACATACTTATTGAAAGTCATACAAAAGAATGTGACTGACTGCCTGCCAGCCTGCTCGGTTGCCTAACTAACTGAGTGAATGAATGAATAAATGAATGACTTGCAATGAAATACAGAAATGCATCTCATTATTGTTCAAGGATGGCCAAAACAAAAAATTCAAATAAAAGAAAAACTAAGAGAACACCATTATGATGTGGTGGTCTTTTGTACAAAAAAAAAAAAAACAATAAATTGTAAAAATCAACTAAGAATATTTTCAATTATTCAATTCGTTGGATTGAAATTTATTCAAATGAAATTGACATTATTTTTTTAAATGACATAATTACTTTAAAGTGTTTGCATGGAAAATTTTTATAACATGTAATTGTGCATCTATAATCTGCTTTGGCAATGCCTATGCAATATGCTAGAGTAAACGGCACAGAATCGCTTATAAGTCCTATACATTCTAGTCTATCGTATATAGTCATAGTCTAGTCTATAGTCTAGTAGTCTAGTCTATAGTCTAGTCTATAGTCTAGTCTATAGTCTAGTCTATAGTCTAGTCTATAGTCTAGTCTATAGTCTAGTCTATAGTCTATAGTCTAGTCTATGTCCTAGGTCTATAGTCTAGTCTATAGTCATAGTCTATAGTCTAGTCTATAGTCTAGTCTATAGTCAAGTCTATAGCTAGTCTATAGTCTAGTCTATAGTCTAGTCTATAGTCTAGTCTATAGTCTAGTCTATAGTCTAGTCTATAGTCTAAGTCTATAGTCTAGTCTATAGTCTAGTCTATAGTCTAGTCTATAGTCCAGTCTATAGTCTAGTCTATAGTCTAGTCTATAGTCTAGTCTATAGTCTAGTCTATAGTCTAGTCTATACGTCAAGTCTATAGTCCTAGTCTATCCTAGTCTATAGTTAGTCTATAGTCTAGTCTATAGTCTAGTCTATAGTCCTAGTCTATAGTCTAGTCTATAGTCTAGTCTATAGTCTAGTCTATAGTCTATAGTCTATAGACTAGTCTATAGTCTAGTCTATAGTCTAGCTATAGTCTAGTCTATAGTCTAGTCTATAGTCTAGTCTATAGTCTAGTCTATAGTCTAGTCTATAGTCTAGTCTATAGTCTAGTCTATAGTCTAGTCTATAGTCTAGTCTATAGTCTAGTCTATAGTCTAGTCTATAGTCTAGTCTATAGTCTAGTCTATAGTCTAGTCTATAGTCTAGTCTATAGTCTAGTCTATAGTCTAGTCTATAGTCTAGTCTATAGTCTAGTCTATAGTCTAGTCTATAGTCTAGTCTATAGTCTAGTCTATAGTCTAGTCTATAGTCTAGTCTATAGTCTAGTCTATAGTCTAGTCTATAGTCTAGTCTATAGTCTAGTCTATAGTCTAGTCTATAGTCTAGTCTATAGTCTAGTCTATAGTCTAGTCTATAGTCTAGTCTATAGTCTAGTCTATAGTCTAGTCTATAGTCTAGTCTATAGTCTAGTCTATAGTCTAGTCTATAGTCTAGTCTATAGTCTAGTCTATAGTCTAGTCTATAGTCTAGTCTATAGTCTAGTCTATAGTCTAGTCTATAGTCTAGTCTATAGTCTAGGTCTATAGTCTAGTCTATAGTCTAGTCTATAGTCTAGTCTATAGTCTAGTCTATAGTCTAGTCTATAGTCTAGTCTATAGTCTAGTCTATAGTCTTAGTCTATAGTTCTAGTCTATAGTCTAGTCTATAGTCTAGTCTATAGTCTGGTCTAGTCTATAGACTATAGTCTATAGTCTAGTCTAGTCTATAGTCTAGTCTTGTCTATAGTCTAGTCTATAGTTTAGTCTATAGTTTAGTCTATAGTCTAGTCTATAGTCTAGTCTAAAGTCTAGTCTATAGTCTAGTCTATAGTCTAGTCTATAGTCTATTCAAGTATATAGTCTGGTCTACAATGTAGTCTATAGTCAAGTCAAGAGCTGAACTGAAATTTTTGTCAAAATAAAATTTATCTAAAATTTTTGTCAAAAAAGGCTTACCAAGATTTTTAAAACTTTTCTATAAAAGAAGTCTCGAATTATACAAATATTATTTATCCAAAATTTTCTGTACATTTATTAAATTCTTTATATAGAGCCGGCTTAGAGGGCAAAAAAAAAATTTCTGCTAAATTATTTTTATAATTTTTTCTTGGTCCAATCATTCGGTGCATATGCTCTCCATTTTACTGATTTTTAAAATTACATTTTTTGATTGCATTTTGTTTTACATAGATCTGTGGAATCATTATATTTTCCTGCTATATTCATGTAAAAGAAATTCTGGCCATCAATAATGTGTAAAATGCTGTAAAGTTTGTTAATATTATCTAGATATTTTTAATTTAATTTTAGTGTTTGAATTTATTAATATTATGTATGTATATAAAAGAGTACAGAGTACAACATTAGGAGGGACCCAAAAGAGATAAACAAGTTTAATGGATATCAAAATGTGTAAAGACTTGATAAACTCAATTTAAAGTTTATTGTGTGTAAAAGTTTCAGAATTCTGATAGAAATCGTTAAATTTTTGGTAGAACTCTTTACTAATGGGTTGCTTCTAATGTAAATACATTTTAACACTATTAAGTACAGAAAAACAAATATGCTCTTTTTCCTCATTTTATACATACATACTACATAAAGTACATAGGATCATAAAAATAAATCTACTCACCCATTGAACGCACTGCAGAGATATATGTTGCCATGTGTTGTCATCATCATAATCAAATATTGTTGAAAAAGTTGCATTAAAATGTTGTCAGTGTTGGTTTTTGTTGCAGACATGCACCAACATGTTGATGGTATGGGATGAAGCAGCAAATGTGATGAATTGGCATTTGACATTTTACCGAGTAAAAGTTGTTGTTGTTTTTTTTTTGCCCATTTTTGGGTTCATTTTAATTTTGTCGAGTAAAAATCCAATTTTTTATAGCAGAAATTTATTTATGGGTTTGTTTGTGCGTGCGTGCGTTTGTTGTAAAATTGAAATTAAAGGAAGAAGCATGGACAAAGATAAATTAGAATGTGTTTTAAAGTGTTCTTTAATATTAGTTTCAGTTTTGCTTTTTTCAAATTAATGTGAGTTATTTGTCATTCAACTAAAGCTTGTAAAACAAATATGTATTATCAACTTTTTGCACAAAACCATCATAAAAAGTTTGCATTTTATGATCCTTCTAAAGTGGTTTCGTATAGTATTTTATGTACGAGTATTTGTTGTTAAAAAAAAAAAAAAATAAAAATTTTTTATGTGATTATATAATACTATATCATTATATAGCAATAGATTGTACAAATAAAATACGAACATTTTATGCTTAAGACTTTGATTGATTTTCGAGTCAGCAAATTTTAAATCAATCCTGAAGATATATTCCAAAAATCTATTTTTATATCAACACTTAAGTACTTTTAGGAGTATATGTTAGATTTACATTTGTGTTTCTATAAGTTTGGGTGTTTTAAATCAAAATTGTTTTTAACGAGGGTGGGGCAAGAATGAAATTATTATTCACTAAAGAATCCTTTTACTCATAAATAAATAGCTAAAATCTTTTAAAACCTTTATCGTACAGTTGACTAATCACATTTTATACATTTAAAAACTTTATGGCCTTTTACTCTTAGCATTTTCTAACAGAGAAAAAACTTTTTTGGCTTCATAAATTTTCCAACACCATTATCTAAATTAAATATTTTATGGTTGCTTTTCACTTTTAAGAAATCATTAAGATAAATCGTAAAATTTATCTCACCCATACATTTAGCTGAATATTCATTAGATGGAAAAAAAGTAATCAATTTTTTTGATTTCTTTTCTATTATTTTTACCGAAATGTGCAAAAAGTTAAATGAGTTGTTGCTAAACTTTGACCTATTTCATTTGTAGCAATCACCAATATATATCTTCCCTCTTTCTCTCTCACCATTTCTTTAACTTTGATTATTTTCATTTATAAATTTTATTCGATGTATTCTTTTTGCTTTTCAAATCATTTCTCTGTTTCTGTTTCCGCTTTGTTAACATCGTTTTAGTTTGTGTTTGTGTTAGCGTTTTTTTATGTAAATTTCATACTCACTGTGCATTATGCGTTTTCTATAATCATCATCACGTTGCATTGTTACGCTGCCACCGCCATTCGAAACCATTGAACTTATTTGTTCCATTGGTACAATATCCTGTGTGATAGAAGAAAATGGAAAAATATAGAAAAGTATCACTCTACTATGTAAATAAATAGAAAATGTTTAGATGTTTGCAAGTGAAATGGATATGGTATATTACATGATATAGATTACATAAAGTTTTTAAACCTAAGTCTTAAACTTTTTACATCTAAAAGCTTTGACTAAGGAGGTTATTTTGTAAATCCCTTCCATTTACATACCTCATATCATTCTTATAAAAGTTGCTTTTGTATTTTGAGAAATTTGTATGAAAATATTTGCAACACAAGGTGCGAAGTCCTCCAAATAAAAGGACAAGTCTTGTCTACGGTTTAGTGTATGGTCATTCTTGCATATAATTTCGTCAATAGTCTTGAGTATAGTTTAACATACTCCTAGTTATAATCTAGTCTTAATTGTAGTTTAATCTGTAGTCTTGAATGAAGTCTAACCTATATTCTTGATTATATCTTAGCCGACAGTTTAATCATAGCATAGTATATAAAATTAGCTATGTTCTAGTCTGGTCTATAGTCTTGTCTATAGTCTAGTCTATAGTCTAGTCTATAGTCTAGTCTATAGTCTAGTCTATAGTCTAGTCTATAGTCTAGTCTATAGTCTAGTCTATAGTCTAGTCTATAGTCTAGTCTATAGTCTAGTCTATAGTCTAGTCTATAGTCTAGTCTATAGTCTAGTCTATAGTCTAGTCTATAGTCTAGTCTATAGTCTAGTCTATAGTCTAGTCTATAGTCTAGTCTATAGTCTAGTCTATAGTCAAGTCTATAGTCTAGTCTATAGTCTAGTCTATAGTCTAGTCTAGTCTAGTCTATAGTCTAGTCTATAGTCTAGTCTATAGTCTAGTCTATAGTCTAGTCTATAGTCTAGTCTATAGTCTAGTCTATAGTCTAGTCTATAGTCTAGTCTATAGTCTAGTCTATAGTCTAGTCTATAGTCTAGTCTATAGTCTAGTCTATAGTCTAGTCTATAGTCTAGTCTATAGTCTAGTCTATAGTCTAGTCTATAGTCTAGTCTATAGTCTAGTCTATAGTCTAGTCTATAGTCTAGTCTATAGTCTAGTCTATAGTCTAGTCTATAGTCTAGTCTATAGTCTAGTCTATAGTCTAGTCTATAGTCTAGTCTATAGTCTAGTCTATAGTCTAGTCTATAGTCTAGTCTATAGTCTAGTCTATAGTCTAGTCTATAGTCTAGTCTATAGTCTAGTCTATAGTCTAGTCTATAGTCTAGTCTATAGTCTAGTCTATAGTCTAGTCTATAGTCTAGTCTATAGTCTAGTCTATAGTCTAGTCTATAGTCTAGTCTATAGTCTAGTCTATAGTCTAGTCTATAGTCTAGTCTATAGTCTAGTCTATAGTCTAGTCTATAGTCTAGTCTATAGTCTAGTCTATTAGTCTAGTCTATAGTCTAGTCTATAGTCTAGTCTATAGTCTAGTCTATAGTCTAGTCTATAGTCTAGTCTATAGTCCTAGTCTATTAGTCTAGTCTATTATATTTTAGCCTATAGTCTAGTATTGTCTAGTCCAGTATCTTATCTTAACCATAGTCATAACTAAAATAGTGAGCAAATCTCTTAAAGAATACTAAAATATATCGTTAACTAAATTCTTTAATACCTGCAAATGTACATATGTATGTACATATACTGCTTATATTTATGTATGTGTATGATATATAAAGAATAATAAAAAAAGTTAATATATTACTTTCAGTACTTTATACAACTGCAATACAAATGTGTTTAGATTAATAAAAACTGAAATAATTATGTGTTCAATACTTGAAATGTTTAACAGTAAGTAAGAGATTATTTTTTCATTATTAATGCGTAAAATTATTTTTGTAATAAGTAATTAGTGTTTCCATCGAACAACTTTTTTTTTTATAAGAATACAGTTCATGGCAGGATGTTAGATGGTTTAATATTTATTATTCAATTTATATTGAATGCATGCCCTACATACGAATTGTGATATTTTGATTATAACAATTAGTTTGTAACATTTTATTATGTTAAAATTTTATGAACAGGCAAATTTAATTTCATATTCTGCCACTCTTTATTTATTTACACATGTTTTTACAATTATAACTCTTTTGTTCAATTTATTTTATTGTAATTGCTTGACATTTTCCTTTTCTTCTGTTTATGTTGTTATGATTGTTTTAATTCTATTATATTTTAAATTCTAAAGAAAACATTTGTTTTTGAAATTGTTGTATTGTTTGGGACACAACAATTATTCACAAGACTGTCCTGTAGGATTGTCATAGTACATATTTTCAGTATTTAAGTAACAAGGAAGAATGTGTATCTGTATGAAAGTAAATGAACTTAAACAATCATTAACCTGTAGTTGTTTAATAATTCAAAGGCTTCCTTCTAATCCCTGCAAACATTTATGTATATTTTATTTTCATTTTTATTACTGTCATTTACATAAAAATGTTTCTCTTTTTAATGTGAATCCTGTGTTGTTGGAGATGCCAACAAACCGACTGAGAAACAAGGACATCATGAAGAAATTAAAGAAGTTGTTATATTCAAGTATTTGTTTGTTTTGATTATTGCAAATACAGATATACATATGTTTGTACACCCTATCAAATGACCTAGTTTTACATTAAGCTGGAGAAGTTGAAGTTTGTAAATAAATAAAGAGTTCTACGAATTCATCAATCACTCATATTGCTATAGGTAAGAAGTTTTTGCAATAGTATGCAGAATAGTTTATTTGTTAATTAAATCGGTTTTTTAAAAACGATCTTTCCTCCTTGTATAGTAATATTTTAAAGTCCAGTCTATAGTCTATTCTATAGTCTAGTCTAGTCTAGTCTATAGTCTAGTCTATAGTCTAGTCTATAGTCTAGTCTATAGTCTAGTCTATAGTCTAGTCTATAGTCTAGTCTATAGTCTAGTTCTATAGTCTAGTCTATAGTCTAGTCTATTAGTCTATAGTCTAGTCTATAGTCTAGCCTATAGTCTAGTCTATAGTCTAGTCTATAGTCTAGTCTATAGTCTAGTCTATAGTCTAGTCTATAGTCTAGTCTATAGTCTAGTCTATAGTCTAGTCTATAGTCTAGTCTATAGTCTAGTTCTATAGTCTAGTCTATAGTCTAGTTTATAGTCTAGTCTATAGTCTAGTCTATAGTCTAGTCTATAGTCTAGTCTATAGTCTAGTCTATAGTCTAGTCTATAGTCTAGTCTATAGTCTAGTCTATAGTAGTCTAGTCTAGTCAGTCTAGTCTATCTAGTCTAGTCTAGTCTATAGTCTAGTCTATAGTCTAGTCTATAGTCTAGTCTATAGTCTAGTCTATAGTCTAGTCTATAGTCTAGTCTATAGTCTAGTCTATAGTCTAGTCTATAGTCTAGTCTATAGTCTAGTCTATAGTCTAGTCTATAGTCTAGTCTATAGTCTAGTCTATAGCTAGTCTATAGTCTAGTCTATAGTCTAGTCTATAGTCTAGTCTATAGTCTAGTCTATAGTCTAGTCTATAGTCTAGTCTATAGTCTAGTCTATAGTCTAGTCTATAGTCTAGTCTATAGTCTAGTCTATAGTCTAGTCTATAGTCAGTCTATAGTCTAGTCTATAGTCTAGTAGTCTAGTAGTCTAGTCTATAGTCTAGTCTATAGTCTAGTAGTCTAAGTCTAGTCTATAGTCTAGTCTAGTCTATAGTCTAGTCTAGTCTATAGTCTAGTCTATAGTCTAGTCTAGTCTATAGTCTAGTCTAGTCTATAGTCTAGTCCTATAGTCTAGTCTATAGTCTAGTCTATAGTCTAGTCTATAGTCTAGTCTATAGTCTAGTCTATAGTCTAGTCTATAGTCTAGTCTATAGTCTAGTCTATAGTCTAGTCTATAGTCTAGTCTATTATAGTCTAGTCTATAGTCTAGTCTATAGTCTAGTCTAGTCTAGTCTATAGTCTAGTCTATAGTCTAGTCTATAGTCTAGTCTATAGTCTAGTCTATAGTCTAGTATATAGTCGAGTCTATAGTATAGTCTATAGTCGAGTCTATAGTCGAGTCTATAGTCGAGTCTATAGTCTAGTCTATAGTCTAGTCTATAGTCTAGTCTATAGTCTAGTCTATAGTCTAGTCTATAGTCTGGTATGTAGTCTAGTCTTGCCTAGCCTAGTCTATAGTCTAATCTATTGTTTTGTCTATACACCAGCATATGACCAAGAAGCTTAAATATTCACTCACTCATCATGTCGCATACACCATGATCAATTTAATATCCAAGTCAAAACGAACACTTGTGTGTAAAAAAAATAACAATAAGTTTATTTGTTGAATAAATGAACAGCGAAATTGCTGTTAAATAAATAATTTTTATGGACCATGTTTATGTGAGTTGCGAATGTATAGAAATGAATAAAAAAGGCAAATAAACGAAATGAACAAAAAAATGATGTTACAAATGGGTGCTTGTAAAACACACCAATTGTAATCCAACGAATGATGTGGTATTACGTATTATTAAATTTCGCATGCATGTTTAACACAGTAGAAAATTTTTGCAATTTTTCAACGAATTGAAAACATTTTAATAAATTTCTTAGCGTTGTTCTTTTTTTATTGTTATGTTGTATTATAGACGAGCCTTGACAATAGGTTATATTTTATGATGAATATTGGTTCAAAAAGTTAAAAAGTATTCATACCGTTCATGCAGTAATGTTATAGGTTTAATAATACGCAAATATATATGAAAGGTAAATGTGGAATTCCATTTTAAATTTAAAAGATCTTTTCCATAGTCAGCGAGGACGGAGGCAACCAAATGTGCCAGTCTACTTTGTATCGTCGTTGAGAAAAAATAATAAGGTAAAGCAGTAGATATCTAGTGCTCAAAAATAAATCGATTCCATCTATTTCTTTCATTTTTTCTACCGGTTGTACATGAAACCTCAAAAACAAATGTTAACTAAACTAATCGTATAAAATACATTTAGATTTAAATATTGATGAGTTACTTTATTAAATATTTTACTGAAT